GCTATAAAAAATTTTGTGATTGTTAAATCATTTGATTTGTCAATCCGAAACACTATACATACAGATGATATACTAGAGAATTGTTTATTTCTCAATGCGACATTTTCAAACATAAGCATGAGAGCGAATGTGTACCTGAACTCATATAGGTATTATTTTCCACTGTATGGAAAAACATAGTGATAAAAAAAAGGGTAATGTTTGTAATTAGTATTGAGCCATAGCATTTATAAACAAATTAGATTATATTTACAAACAATGAATCGGAACGCATAGTTTACTTGAAGCTCGTTGTTATACTGATAGTTCCATGTCTTAACAGCCCACCACTAGCCTTGCCCACCAGCGGCCGAGCGGTAGTCGCTGCACAACACTGGTATTTCGGTCCAGGGTTCGAATCCAGGCAAACGGACTGGCTACAAGAGCGTTTTCATGGTTTTCCTCTTGTGTAACATGTATACGAGTCAGTATCCCTCAGAAAATCCTCTACGAAGTCATTCCCCTTAGGCAGATAGCCCTAGTGTACTTTGCCATAATTAAATAAACGAAACCAAACCGCTAGTAGCCGAGAGGTCACGTCGCTGAGACGTGGTAGCTCGACATGGTATCCATTCTAAGCGAAACGATTGGCTGCATGGGTTTTTTCGGGGTTTTCCTATGTGGGATGATAGCGTGAGTCAATTTCCTTTAGAAAACCCTCCATGAGGACATACCTCCCTCATGTGTTTTGCCATAATCAAATAAAATAAACCATCCATATCTTAACATGGAAATGTGCTGGCCACCTCAAAATTTCTTCATTATTCTTAAATCATAGACATAATTGCTTATTGTGGTTTACCCGAAAAATTATTAGGAATTATTTTAAAATGAAATTAAGAGGATTTTTTTTTTTTTTTTTTAACTTTGCTTGCAGAAAAATTTGGGAAATTTGCATTCCTTCTTTGGTTTGTGCAGTGCCGAATAGATGAAAAGCCCAGTGCTATATATAATCGCGCTGTGTGTGTATCGTGCTGCTTATCGACGTGACAAGTAGCTGTCATTCTCGCCCGCGTGGTGCGGCGATTTGAAGCATGGAACTTTGGCATGAAATGTAGCTGCCGAAGGCCAAAACGGGAGTCATTATAATTAGTATCCATAGAATTTACTATGAAGTTAGGTATGAAATTCTTGCAGCCAAGTACCTGCCGACCTAATGTAATGGCTAAGTAAGCTCTACTGACATAACGCAGCAGTTTATTCCAGTCAAATTAATCATCTCTTAACCATCTTACATTTTCTCACATGTCATAGATTGGTATGCCCTCTTCATCTCTTTTGTTAATCTCATGGAAAATACCATTAAAACATACGTTTCAGTTAGTTCAAGTACGTTCCTTTGGTAAGCAAGCACATTTTTTACTACGTATTACTCTTTAGAACACCAAAAACCAAACAACAGTAAACATTTTAGGTTTTATTTACAAAGGATCAACCCATTCCATGTTTTAATAGCGACAAGCTTTAAATAAACACTTTACTTAAAGCTCGTTGTTATTTAAAACTTGGAATTGGCGGAAGGTTATGTGCTAGCTACATCGATTTTTTTTTTTTTTTTTTTAGCGCCATCAAGTTTATGCACGGTTCTTGGGATCAAAGACCAGCTTGTGTAAACAGACCTTTATGGTCTTCGAGTAAAGTACAACTTCCGGTTATCCAGTTTTACACAGAGTCTAACTGGCTCTTCGTATTAATGCAAAAAGCTTATAAACGAAAAATGGGACTTTTGGAGAGCTTGATTTAAGAGTTATCGTGGACGACACACATACAGACACACAGATATCATCGTAAAAACAGCAAAAACGCGTTGTTGGCCTCCTAATTCGTGTTTTTTTCATTGAAAACTCATTATCGAGATATAGGACAGAAAACATTACCTCTTTTACCTTATACAAGTTGGAAGGTGGAAAATGTATCTGATACTGAATAGCTCAATTATATTAAAAGAATCTTAAAATGATCAGTTACTGCAAAATTCAGAAATAATTTCTAGCCTTGTGGACGTTATTGTGAATCACCTGTTTAGGAAAAAAAATCAATTCCGCTTAGTTTCATCTCATACGAGACTGAGTAAATGCGAATATACATTCGTATTTTATCACGTACAAGAAAACGACGTGCATAATACATTCTGAAATTCTAAAAGGACATATCCAGACATTTACGACTTTCCTTTTAAAAACTTACTTAGATTTATTAGCATTAAATATGTAATTTTAAGCTTCTTAAAATTAATTTATTTCACGAGCTACAGTACAGCAAAATGTTAAACCATTTTATTTTGCACTTCTATTTATGTTTGCATAAAACTAATTTATCAGGCCAAAAGTCATAAATTATTCTCACCTAATTCAGCTTTGTGATTCTTCTTGAGATACTAATCCAAACCTAGCATCAACATTACTTTTCTTCAAAATACGACGTATGCTCAATTACGATATGATGTTTCTTTCAGAGAAATCTTACTTTAATATTTTAAGCATTGCAATTCTGAGACTTTAAAACTTTCTACCGTTCATTAGATGCTGAGCACAAGTATGATAAAATATCTTACCATGATTCCTCCTCATTTTTCGTATCATTATGAAAGTGTTATTATCCTTATTATCAGTAGTAGTATTAGTACTAGTATTCATTTTATTAAACTTCAAAATCAAGAAACCTTTTTTTTTATTAAAAATAGCGTGATTAATTCAGTAATTTTTTATGTGCGAAGTCGAAGGTAAGATTTAGGAAAATTAAATAATTTTTATATATCATATACAGTAATGAAAAGAAATGTCTTGTAGCTTACTATTATAATAATATCATAACTAAAATTCTTCTCTCAAAGCTGCACTTAGGAATATTCTGTATAACTTAACCAGTTTCAACATCATTTGCAATATTATTTGCATTAATTTTAAAAATAAAAATAGTATCAATATAATAGGCACTTTGATTGGCAAGTTAATAAACCTCGTTTGGTAATTCCTAATATTAATGTATATTTAAATAACGATATTTTCTCACTGATTTAGTCGGAGTATACCTTGACATAATGAAGGCTCATAAAATCTCCTTTAGATGCTTTTTTAAATTCATACAGTATGCTGCGAAATTAATTAAATAACCAAAGTTATAATAATTAAATAATTAAATCAAAATTTTGGTTATCAGTGCTCTAACAGAAAGCACATACATCAAAACTGGAACAGAAAAAATTTTCAGTAAAAATAACATAATAAAAATAATACAATCAAAACAAATAGGTAAAAATTCTTTGCCCTTTCTCAAGCAGCAGAAGAAAATATTCAACATTTTGTTTTAATACCTGGATATACTGTTTCATTTTGAACTTTCCGTATCAAAAGCGTGGATTATGCTGACCTAGCTACAAAACAACTTTATTCTTATTTTGGAGGAAAGACAATCACTGTGTTTTGCGTTACTCTTCCATATTACTTAACTTTTATTCTCATATTGTTTAACTTTTTTACTCCATATTGTTTAACTTTTTTACTCCATATTGTTTAACTTTTTTACTCCATATTGTTTAACTTTTTTCTGAACTTCTAGCTAAAACGGATATTGGGCCATTACTGTCAGAATGAATGATGCTTCACAGAATCATATATCAAATCGTGTCTTTTTTATTATGGAGCTACTTGAAGTCCCGTGTCTACAGAGATTCCCTAAAGTCGTTAGCAGTGGGGAAAGATGCTCTATGTCGTCATATATAAACGAATACTAAAAAAAAATGCTGTATCTACTTTCCATATGTCTTAGCTCGTTTTCAGGCAGTGTTCAATAATGAAGGCCGTTATATTCATCATTTGTTACGAGGTATTTTTCGTTCTTATATAGATGAAGCCCAGGCCGAGGAACATAATTGTAATTGAAAAAAACCTGCATTAAAAAAACCTGCGTAGTAAATTCCTTAAAATAAACCCATAATTTTATACATTTCTACATAATTCCCGTAAGTTTATTACTTAATTGTATTACTATACATTTAAAGTTTCTGACATGCAAATGTTTAAAAAGTTTGGTGAATTTGGATCATTCTGAAAATATGGCATATTCTTTTGCTGTCAAAACTTGTTTAATTAAACTATAATTATTCTATGATATCTACATTCAATTTACATCAATAAAATTTCTAAAGAGCTTGCTTTTTTTTACTTTTTTAATAAGTTAGAAAGAATTTTATTTCAAAAAATGGTTTTTTGAAAGGCAGCTTTATATTTATTCACGTCAGGATTTCCTTATATTTAAATATTTTTGTTTGCATTGCGTGGTTAAACGAAAATCTTTGTTTAATTCAAGGTTACGTAGCTCAACTACCGCAGCATATACTTAAAATATATGTGAGTTAAAAGTTTCCTTTTTGATTCATATCTTTTATAAACAATCGTGGGAAAAAATTATTTAGCTTCACGAAACAGAGCATAGAACTCATCAGAGGAAAAATCGCTTTTAATGTACTTAGATTTTCAATTCCGAGAAGAACCCTCATAAAAGTTTGAGCTATTTTCTCAAAATTATTTCTCTTGTTCTAGTTTTCTATCTTTTTTTTTTTTTTTTTTTTTTTCCCTCATTAATTTCTAATCCTGTCATCTGCTACCAGAACTATTCTTTCCAAGAACAGATTGCATTTTATCAGACTTATACAAAACGGCATTTCAGATTCATTCGGTTTGAGAACTAGATTACCTGAACTTAAGGTAAATGACAGCATGCCAAAAATTATCTTCCAAAGGCATTCTCGCAATTAAGGAGTTTCAGAGTTTATGTCTCTGTTTAAAAAATTAGAGACATTTCCAAGGTTAGCAACTAGGAATAATGTACGCCTTCTTAAAGAATATTACCTTTCATAAAATATTTAGTACATTAGTAGGAAAATGTTATATTAATTTTTGTAAAAGCTAAGAAAACACCGGCAAATAATTTGTTATACAGAAATCGAAATTTCTACTTACCTACATTAGGAACAGACAATGTTACAATTGACGCTTGGGAAATGCAAGCATTTGATGATTTTGGAGCGTGATTCGGGAACTCTAAAAGATTTGGTGGACGGAACATGCTTGAGCGAAGCAGTTGCTCATTCCTTATGCTAAAAGCGTCCGTGTGGTCCCCGAGTTCATTTCCGGGGAATGTAAAAACATTCTGACTGTGGCTGGAGCATGAAGGAGAAGGTGACATGTCAGTAGGCGAATAAAAGCCAAACCTCATAACTTGCAATGGTGAAAGAAGCATAGGAGTAGGCTTTATAGGTGGTCTGACTGATAGCTGATTATAAGAGAGGACAGGCTGCTCATCTTTATGATGAGGGTAAATGTCTTGAAATTCTGAAGTGGAAGACACCAAGCGGCAGCCTTTTGTTAAGTTGGCGTTATCAGAAAGTTTAGAGGAATATGATTTGGTCTTTTTAATCCCTAAAATATCATCAATCATAAAAGAGGAACTAGCTCTATCCACATCTTGCTTGTCTTTACCGGTGGAAAATGTCTCCACTGTTCTTTCAACAACAGCTTTCAGCTTTTCTATTTCATTACTTTCTGGGTTAGACGCGGTGATCTGTTTCGGAATCATTGTACGTAAACCAACCAAATTACAGCCAGGTGTGAGTTTACGAAAAACCAAATGCGAAAGCTGTAAAAATGAGAAATATATTACTTTCAAGGATTTTAAACGTCAAATTAATATTTTCAAATATTCAAATTCATTGAAAAGCAAAAATGGCCTAAAATAGAGACCTCAGATTTCACTGAAAGTCTTGAAGCGCATCTCAACATAAAAGATTACCATGCTTCAAATTAGCTAAAACTATCACAAATTGTTAAAAAAAATTTGTTCTCATATAAATTGCAGAAATATGTTTGTGAGTCTTTCTCCCATGTATTTCATTAAAATTTTGTAACTGATATTTCTAGTGCTTTATAAAATATTGTTTAGTATGCAGACTAAATTTTAAGACTACTGATTAATTTACAAATATTTTAAGCAGAACTACAGTCACGTTTCCTCGGAATAAATTGCTTTCTTTACCTCAGTTCATTTCATGGTTCATTTCGGGCTTCGAAAGACATATGTTTAGCATATTCCCTATATTATGTCTAAATTGTAAATATATAAAAAGTATGTATGCAATACAAATTGCAAGAAGCCACTGATTTGAAGTTTCCTAGAAGTCACTGATTTCAATCAAACTGGTATCTTTCAATGAGAGCTGTTACAATTAAATACTTTTGTCAGATTTTCTGGAATTTCTGTATACTTAATTGGTTTTTCATAATATTTTGAAATTTTGTAGGTTTTAAGATCTTATATGTCTGAGAATTCCTTTTAGAAGTTTAACATACTTTAATGAAGAAACCACGAGATTAGTTTAATTAGGAGATATATGTACATGATCAGTCTGAAATAAAAATATAAGTTTTGCATACTTATTTGAAACTGTGTCTCTCTAAGGTATTAAAATTACTGTTTACAAATGATTCATTATTAAGAGCTTTATTTCTTGAATGAAAAGCTTCATAAATGGGAAAACAAGAAAGCAACACATAGAAATTTAAACCCAAATAATATACTAATAATATGCTCAAAGCGAAAAAAAAAACCAGTAATATATATATATATATATATATATATATATATATATATTTTTTTTTTTTTTGCGAGGGTAAACAGAAAGGTTAATTTACGGAAAATTATTTTGTTCATCATTCCATATTTTTCATATTCATTACATGTACTAGATGGAATCAAGCATAATTTTTTAATTACCGATGGTACTACATTTACGGCATGATTTATTTATTTATTTATTTACTCTCGATTAGGTTCAAAAAAGAAAAAGGGCTCACCGGTTATGCTAACAATAACTGTCCACATTATCACTCCGTCGTGATGGGTAGTGAGGTTCACTTTAAATGTGTGCCGTCGTTTACCCAGTGTTCTGACGTGTTGACAGGAAATACGATAACCTTATCCCTCCCTCTTCTGCCGCGGCTGTCATTTCACGATTCTCATTCATTGGCTAGACTCTGAAGCTTCTTCCTTTCCTATAAACGTGTTAAATATTTTTAGTTAAGAATCACCTGGACTTAAGATAATATATAAAAATGCAAATACATTGAAATACAACAAAACAGAATGAGAGTGACCTGTGGTCATTCTCCACTTGGTAATATAAGAAATATGACAACACATATTTTTATCATGATGTTTCACTCTTGCAGTAGGTGAGTATATGCTGCATTAATTTATTTGACATTTGATTTGCTCAAAACTATCGGAAATATAATATCAAACTTTATTAAGACAAGATCTTGGTTTCAAGATATGCTTTCCGGTAACTCCACTCTGTTTATTTAATCAAATGATTTGGCCTTAGGCGAAATTAGAATTTAAGGATAAAATTAAATTTCTGTTACTTGAAATGATATAATAAATTAAATTTAGGTGTCATAGGCAGATATTTTAATTAAACTCCATCAGAATAAATAATGAAATTCATTTTAAATTCTATTTTAAAACTCTTTTAATTAGTATTACATATTTTAAATATTAAATTAGAGAAGTATTAAGATATCTATTTTAAATCATTAAAAATGACAATGTTTTTTTTGGGGGGGGTCAAATTTTTTCACATGTTTCCATGTTAGGAGTCTGAACTATTAGGAGGTATGTTCAGAATGCAACATTTTTAAAGTACGTACCGTACTTTTGTTTTAACCGTTCATTTTGTTTTAAGTTTAATTAAGCTGTTATATTTTTAACTGACTCTGTCTTTTCATTTCTCAATTTTTTCATATCTCTAACACAGGAAAATGAAAATTAGATAGTTATTTAAATAATTATCTAATTTAATTTTATTTATAACATCTGTTACGGTGAAACGCTGAAATCTGGAGAATGTCGACTTTCACCGGTGAATGTCAACATTCGCATAGTCGCTTGGTGTATGTCCGAAATATTTTCCAAATACTCTTATTTCTGACTTATACCGGTAAATGTCGACATTCACCATGTACTAATGGGTGAATGTTGAACATATAAGAATATTATATTTCCTTCTCCGTAATTCATTCGCGAAAAAACGCACTTGAGACTCAGAATAAGAACTTAAGAACATAAGAACTTAAAACACACAGTACATTCAAAATGAGAAACGAAAGTAATATAAGTTATAAACTTACCAAATTATGTGATTCAAATCTTATTTATTGCAACAACTTAAACTATTATGCCACTTTGAATTGCACAAGAGGCCCTTGCTTTTACAACTGCATTTATTTGTGGAACACTTCCTTTTGGAATGGCAGCGTGTACATATACTCCTCTCTTTTCGACCTACACCAGAGCATATCTGTGATTGTCGACATACACCGGTGAGGGTCCGAATGTACAAGAATGTAAAGAAATATTCGATCTTTCACCGACGTATTTGGTGAATGTTGACATTCTCCGGTGAAAGTCGACATTCTCCAATTTCGGTCTTTCACGGTAACATATCTATTATACTATAAATTTAATTTGTTATATCATTTCAAGTAACAGAAATTTAATTTTATCCTTAAATTCTAATTTCGCCTAAGGCCAAATCATTTTATTAAACAAATAGAGTGGAGTTACCGGAAAGCATATCTTGAAACCAAGATCTTGTCTTTAATAAAGTTTGATATTATATTTCCGATAGTTTTGAGCAAATCAAATATCAAATAAATTAATGCAGCATATACTCGCCTACTGCAAGAGTGGAACATCATGATAAAAATATGTGTTGTCACATTTCTTATATTATCAAGTGGAGAATGACCACAGGTCACTCTCATTCTGTTTTGTTGTGTTTCAATGTATTTGCTTTTTTATATATTATCTTAAGTCCAGGTGATTCTTAACTAAAAATATTTAACACGTTTATAGACCAGAGAGTTTTAAGATAGGGCAGATGTTAACTGAACTAGTGATAGATTAATTGTTTCTCTATCAGGTAAAGCGAATTTAAAAAAAGTGGAAATTTTCCGATTCCAGATGGTTGATCAAATTGACAAGCTTGAAGTATATATGTTGCCGCAAAATTTTATCGTTACCTTTAAATTTAATTCTGGATGCAGATGCTAACATGCAAAAGAATTGGAATTAGAAATTTTGAAATCGATAAATAAAGATTTTTATATAAGGCATTAGAAGTAATTGGCATTAAAACATATCTCTGCTTATATCTCTAAACAAATATATTTGTTGCAATATTTTGTTCAGAAATACAAATAAATAGTTTTCAATTGATTCACTTATTTCTTGCACTGATGAGTAACGAACGCACTTTTATAATTCTGGAGATCATGGCTGCCGCTATGGTTTCCGGAGTCGGCCTGTGAATTCGAAAAAGAAGTTTCCAGTAGTTTATAATTTTTACTTTTTTCCCTGTTAAAAGAGATTCTGAGATAATATACAGGAAATAAAATTATACTTAAGCAAACCTCTTATGTAATTTTTGTGGAATTTATTTATTTATTTTTTACGTCTCTATGATCACATGTAGAATTTTAATTCTTTTGTCAGGCAAGATTTACATGTTATGTTGTGTCATGATCATACGTACAAGTTGACTTTTGATTATGAACATTGCATTTCGAGTTTAATTTATTCTTGTTGCAGCTTATCCCTCTGATCACATGCCTCATGATGGACTTCAATATTATGGATATCTTTTCTACTCTTGTTCAATAAATTAATAAAAATGTAACATTTTTTGCCAAATCTTCATTATTTATTTTACATTTTGAAATAAACAAATTTATTACTGTCTGACTTCATTATATGAGAACGCTTTCTACCCTTTTCCAACATATTATTAAAAACGCAATATTTTTTGCGAACTATCATTATTTATTCCAACATACCGTTAAATAATCATATTTATCACTGTCTAGTTTTAGTCATTTAAAAATTTCATTTAACGGAATATACCTGTTGTCTAAAACCATAGAAAATATATTAATTCTACATTTATTTGGGTTGATTCATCATGATAATTAACATTAGTTGATTCATCATGACAATTATTGTCTCACTTGTCTTCGTCGAATTGCAAGGGCAGAGTTAAATTCTGATTCTTCTTGTATGTCTTCATTACTAATATGTTTTACCCTCATTTTCAGGCACATTCTTGCAGTTTGAATCTATACTGTATTTTTATAAAGTATTTTAATCTTTCAAGGCGTTGTTGATTATATCAGTTATCAATGAAATTTAAGAAGTAATTTTATACTAATTTAAAGAAACTCGTACATGAAAGTTATTACAAGTATAATTACTAGTAAACACGATAAATGCAAAAAATAAGGAAACGAAATATATGTAACACAAGAATTAATAAGTAGACTTGTAACTAAGTAACAACAGATAATTAATGCTAGTAAAATGAGGACTAGTACGGCGGAACGTAATAATAGCTTACGAGAGTAGCCTAAAAAGGCGGAGGCGTGCAGCCAGAATACCTGGTATCTCTCTCCCAAGACGAAGAACTTACCGCTCTTACCTAAATACCGCTCTTCCTCATTATGTATTCAGATGTGATTCTAAAACTACGTTCTGGCCGGAAGTGTAAGTTCAAGTTAAGAATTGATAGGAAAGGAACTTTAACTCAAAATTTAACTGTTCATAAAATTAACATAATATTTACACACCATTAAAATTGTTCAAAGTTAGAAGTACGAAGTATTATTCATTTTAATTTTAAGAGTTTTACTTATAGTAAAACCTCGGCAATGGTTCAAATTTTCATTATTTGTAGGTAATATGTTGTATCCAATCAAAGCAAAGCATTAAGCGCATGTCTGATTTTTCCCACGCTTTGGAAGTTTAATGACGGCGGTTTGCATGTGTTCGACAGAGTGTTTGATAGTTGTAAGGTATGTGTATTCTTCTTCATAAATTTGCTTTTATTTACGTGCGTGCATTAAAATTTGCGTATTTATAAAATGTAACATACAAACCCGTTCTTAAAACCCGTTCACAATAATTTTTTAACGAGCAAAGCAGTATGCTAAATCACCATTTTATTGTTACTACTATATTTAATACAGCTGAACAGAACTCTGAAAGGATATTCCCTAGTATTCCTAAGGAAAAACTTAATGTGTATTTCTGTAAACATAAATACAATATTGTATGCTTTCTATAAGCACTTTGGGGATCCCTTTTTTTACATGGGTATAATGACCCTAGAATATATACAGAGATCCTTTTTCAGAGTGGCATTCAGCATATCTGTAAAAATATTTATATTCACGCATAATACATTTGGTAAAATTAAATTCATGATTTAATGTTTTCCTAGAAGAAAATTTCGGTACATTATAAATCATCATTAAAAGAGAGAAATTTCAAATTATCATCAGCTAACTTTTATTAAGTACACCTAATATCCAAGTTCGCTGCAAAATGCGATGATGATTTTAAAGAATAAATGATGATTTAAAAATTTTTCCTGAGGAGAAGAGCAAAATTAAGGTTATTTACCTTAATTTTACCTTAAAAAACGCATTTGGAATATTTTGCTAAATTAGTAAGTTTTCTTGTTGCTTTGTTAAAACTTTTCTTTGTTAAATCGCGTTGTTTGAATAAAACCTTTCTGAAATACTACCAGAGCTTTCCTTTTTACAAGAAATATTTTTTGATGAAGATTCATTGAATTTTCTTTATTTAGCCATGCTGTAAAATATTGTGTTTCAATGTATGTTTATTTGGCGAAATTTGGTGTTTAAAAACTTTCTGCTTTTCGTTATTTTACATAATAATATATATTGAACTTGAACAGTTATGTTTATTATACACTCTGTTATGATTCCTGTTCCATTATATACTCTGTTAAATTGCTACTAAAGTGCTATAAAATTAGAGGTATTGCACTAAATGCTGATTCAGCTGAGCATCAAACTGCAGCAAAAGTTAGAATTTAAAAAATTATGTACCTTTTCTCTGCTAAAACTGGGAATAAATT